AAATCCTGGAAAAACTTGTATGAACTGATGCAAAGTGAAATGAGCAGAATCAGGAAAACATTGTACACAGTATCAGCAACATTGTGTGATGATCAACTGTGAATGACTCAGCTCTTTTCAGCAACACAATGATCCAAGACATGTGCAAAAGACTCATGAAGGAAAATACTGTCCATATCCAGATAAAGAACTGGTGGACTCTGAATGTAGATCAAAGTATTTTTTCACTTTATTCTTTCTAGTGCTTTTTTAATCTGTTTCTTCTTTCACAACTGTAACTAATATGGAAATATTTTTTACATGATGGCACATGTATAAACTTTATCAAACTGTCTACCATTTTCAGAAGAGGGGAGGGGAGGTAGAAAAATTTGCAACTCAAAATCTTGTAAAAATGAATGCTAAAAATTTTCTTAACATATAACTGGGGGAAAAATAAAATACTATAATAAATTTTAGTTTGAAACTTGGCCACCCACTTCCCAATTAGATGACAGAAAATAAATCAAAATCTTTTTATGTTTCATTTTCCCCAAAGGGAAAAGGAAGACAACCATCTCAAACACTCACCAGTCTCAGAAACAAGACAGAAACAATGCGCTCAATTCTGAAGATTACTTTTATCTCCTTGGAAAATGGACACCATGAAAATCAGCTCTCCCTTTCCTAAGGATTGTTTTTGCATGTTACTTATATTCTCCTTTTAAAATAAAATTCTCATCAGGGAATACAGGAAGTGACCCACCTCATTAGCAACACTTCCATTGCAGATCACCCAAAGATGGGACTTCCCAGTTATTTTCCAGCTCATGGCCTGATCGGGGCCTCATATCTTTTACATTTGGAATTCAGAGGTATTCACAAATTACTAACTTTATTTTTCTCCATAGTCTGACAATCTTGAGGATTTAAAAAAATATACTTTTCCTCTAGTTCTTTAAAAGTAGTTTTCAGGGTTTTCCCATGGCATTGTAATGATCCTGTTTGAGTAGGCAAAGCTCTTCTGACTATCACAATCTCTCAATTATAATATCTTCATTCTTTGAAGTAATATTTGAGCAAGATACCCACTAAATAGTATCCTATTCCTCCTTACAAGTACATAAGGTCTCATGGGAGAGATAGTGTGGCAGAATGGATAAAGTTGGAATCTGGAAGACCTAAGTTCAGAAACCACATGAGATATTTGCTAGTCTTGTGTTTTTGGATAAGCCTATTAATCTCTATGAACCTCAGTTTCTTTTTCTTTCTTTTTTTTTTTAGGCAATTGGGGTTAAGCAACTTGCCCAGGGTCACATAGTTAGTAAGTGTCTGAGGCCAGATTTGAACTCAGGTCCAAAACAGGAGCTCTATCCACTGTACCAGCTAGCTGCCCCTTGAACTTCAGTTTCTTCATCTGTAAAATAACGTGCTGAAGTGCTGAAGATAAATCTTAATAAATCTTCCCACCTCTGCTCTCTCTACCCACACCTTCTTCAAACTACTCTTCAAAATAGTGACAGATCCGGTTATGTTATTCCTACACTCAAAATCCTACAATGACTCCCCACAATTGTCTACCAAGTAAAGTTCAAGCTCTTTGGCCGAGTTAATATTAGAGGTCCTCCCCAATCTGGATGCACCTTACTCCTCCATACTGTTTCCCTCCATGTAGTCTATTGCTCACTTTCTAGCCTCTGAACTTTTGGTTACTTTCTTTCCTTTGCTCACAATGCCCTCCTCTTCCGTCTTTGCTTGTAGAATCCCTTTCTGTTGTTCTTAGTAAGTCATTTCTTGGTAGTGTCCAATTCTTTGCGACCACGTTTGGGTTTGGGTTTTTTGTTTTTGTTTTTTGGACAGATACTGGAGTGGTTGCAATTTCCTTCTCCAGCTCCTTTTGCAGATGAAGAAACTGAGGCAAACAAAGTTAAGTGACTTGCCCAGAGTCACACAGCTAGTAAATGTCTGAGGCTACATTTGAACTCACAAAGATAAGTCTTCTTGACTGCAGGCCCAGCATTCTATCCACTGCACCACCTAGCTGGTAGGATCCCTACCCCTCTTTAAAAGCCTGACAAATTCCATTTCTTCCTAACCTTCCATTAGTTGGTGATTATCTTCCCCACCTTGACTCTAACAGAGTCCTTTTTTCTATTTCTCTGGATTATTTTTCATGTATTTTTCATTCCCTAATACCTTGTATTAGGGTTATTATATGTGTCATGTTCTCCTTCTAGACTATAAGCTCCATAAAAGCAAGGACTCTGTCTTATGTAAATTTTGCACATCATTTTAAAATGAGAGGATTGGCCTGGATAATCCTATGATTTCTAAATCCTATGATCCTATCAGTACTATTATGATGTTAATAAAGGTTCTGATCCAGTCCAGTCTAATCCAACAAGAGTTTGCTACATGCTGACTTATGCAAACTACTCTGCTAGCCTCTGGGAATACAAAGAAAAAACCAGAGCAAGTCCTAAAAAAGCTCAGTTCGTATATACTGTGGCCACATAACACAGGTACAGATAAATATATACATGGTAATTTGAAGAGGATGAAAGCAATCCCAACTAGATCACAGATCATACAGCAAAGATTTAGAGCTAGAAACAGGGTGATCAATAAAGGCTTCTCATGTGAGCGGATATGTAATCAGAGCCTTGAAGGAAGCTAGGGATTCTAAAAGGTGAAAGTTAAAAGTATTCCTAGTGTAGCCTAGGCAATGGTATAAAGAAGGGAGACAAAATACAGAATTTAGGGACTAGCAAATAAGTTATTTTTCTAGAACTATAGCATTTGAAGAGGGATAATATAAAATAATTCTGGAAAGGTAGACTGGAGCCATATTATAATGAGAGGAAAATGATGAACTGGAGAGTTTATATTTTATCCTAAGGGTAAAAAGCAGCCCCTGGAGCTTCTAGTGTTTAGCACAGTTCCTGGTACATAGTAGCACTTAATAAATGCAAGTCACTGGATGGACTGACATGACAAGAAGACTATTTTAGCAACCATATGAAAGACATATTGCAGTGTGGGAAGTCTGGAGGCTTAGAGTCCAATTAGGGGACTGTTGCAGTGGTCTAGATAGGGTGATAAATATCTGAATTAGGGTAATAGCTGTGTGAGAAGGATGAGAAAGAAGGGATGAATATGAGAGATGATATGGAGGTAAAATAAGTAAATATGACTTGGAATCTAATTTTATATGGGGGAGAGATGAGGAAGATTAAATAGTCCAGGATAACTCCTTTCTTGTAGACCCAGATGAATAGAATGGTGGTGGTACTCTGAAAAAAAAAATAAGATGGTTGGAGGAGGGAAAGGTTTAGGGGGAAGGTAATGAGCTCTGTTCTGAACATGTTGAGTTTGAGATGCCAAAAAAGTGAATTCAACCAAATTAAAATCAACAAAAATAAATGTTTTGGAACACTGGGATATTTCTTGATGTCTTGGTCATTTTCCAAATGGTACCATGTATTTATGAATGAATTTACCCTATAGGAAATGGAACTAGGTCCTGATTAGTGTAAATAATGAATCTCATGAGGTGGTTGCATGTATTAGAATTCATATTATTGAAAATTATAATTATTTAAAATACAGTCATTGTCTCCAGCTATGGAAATATGAAGTACAATTTTGAATAATGTGATCACTTTAGGGGATTCATTATTTGGACTAACTGAGAACTAGTTGAAGTACTTCAAGAATGGGAAATATCACATTCTTTTTTAATATGTCACAGAATCAGGCTCACTAAAACTCTGCAAGGATTCAAATCAATGTTTTAAAACAACTGTTATGTGCTAAATTCTATGTGAGAAAAAAAGTATTCTTAAAAGGACACAGTTCTTGCCCTAATAAAGTTTATGGACCCATCTGGGAGATAAGACATATCTGCATGAAACTAAAATGCAGAGTAGGATGTGAGAGTGCCATCAGAGAAGCACAATCCTATTTTCCCACCAAATCTTACTACTTTCTAAAGATTCATCAAGGTGATTTGTCATCAGTTCCCACTTCTATAACTTCCACAGAACACTTCCAGACAATAATTCATCAGCAGTAAGGTTGCATAGAGATTAGAGTGTTGGACTTGGAGATAGAAAGATATAGATGCTAATCTAGTCTCTCAGATACTTACTGCTGTGTGACCCTGGGCAAGTCATTTAACTTCTAAGCTTCAGTTTCTCCATCTATAAATTGAAGGTATAATAATACCTATTTTACAAAGTTGTTGTAAAAATCAAATGAGATAATATCTATGCATGCACACACATGTACATACACACACAGTGCTTTGCAAACCTTAAAGAGTTATATGCATGTTAGTTATTATTATTATAAAAGATAGGATTAACAGTAGCATATCAATAATGCGTTGTTGTCTTAAGTACAGCATTATGCCAGAGTTCTCTCCCAAAACATAATTTTTTATCATAAAAATATTTTCAGATATAACTGTGGACCTCCACTGTACTAAATGCAAGACACAGTTATGGTCTCCTCTGACCAATCTGTTTGTTTAGTTTGGTTTGGTTTCAGGGGTTGGGTTTTGGCGGGGTTTTGTTGCATTAATTTCAGTCCACTTCCTGGCTCCCACTCACAATCATCCTACATCATAGCCCAAAAAAAGTTGCAATGATTTTATAAATTTATTTATTTATTTATAGTTTTCAACATTCATTTCCATAAGCTTTTGAGTTTTAAAGTTTCTCCTCCTCCCTCCCCATCTCTTTCCCCAAGATGGTGTGCAATCTGATATAGGCTCTACATGTACATTCCTATTAAACATATTTTCACATTAGTCATGTTGTAAAGAAGAATTAGAACTCAGAGGAGGAACCACAAGAAAGAAGAAAAAAAAGACAGAAGAAAAAAAAGAGCAAATAGTATGCTTTGATCTGAATTCGAACTCCATAGTTCTTTCTCTGGATATGGATAGCATTTTCTATCATGAGTCTTTTGGAGATGTCTTAGATCCTGTTGCCATGATTTTTTTTTGTTTCTTCCAGAAAATGAGAAAAACCTATAGAAGGAAATATCTTGAAGTGATTCTTCATGATACAGGTGGGCTGAAAAACTTTTGGGAGAAAAAAATTGAACACCATGCAAAGCAAGTGCAAATTGAAAACTCTCGAATAAGCAGAAGTGCCCTGGATAAGTGAGTAGAGTCATGTAATGGTAAAATTTGTCTGGGTTTTAATCTAACCCCAGCCCATATAGAGAGTGATGGTTTACATACAGATTATGGCATTGCTACATGTTGACAAGATACTGGAAGCCCTTCAATTTATTAACGTTGTCATCTTGGAATTTACTATAAAGATTTATTTAGACTGCTAAAGAACCAGAAGATGCCACCATCTCTTCTTGGAGGCCCTCTATTCATTTTCTGGGGAAGAGCTATATGTCTCCAAGTGACTAAATGCACTAGTTTGGAATTCCAAGAAGTGATTACTATTAATTTCTGCTTAGAATTGTTAAAGAAAAAATAAGCAGGAAAGGAAAGGCAAGGAGTTGAAAACATTAAATGAGCAAAGGAAGAGTTTTTCCTCCATGAGAGTTGGAATGCTCCATGTCTTGATTACATGCTTTTAAAAGTACTTCCAAACAAATCACTCTGAAATTTTTAGTACTATAATGTCATAAGTCTGCAGAGACTGCCTCTCACAAATGATACAGTTTTTGGAATGAACTTTGTTATTAATAGTGAAGGAGGGGCAGCTAGGTGATGCAGTGGATAGGGCACCGGCCCTGGAGTCAGGAGGACCTGAATTCAAATCTAGTCTCAGACCAGACACTTGACACTACCTAGCTGTGTGACCCTGGGCAAGTCACTTAATCCCATTGCCTAGCCCCCCCCCAAAAAAAATAGTGAAGAAGTGGGACTTTAGACTTTGACATGTCCATTTTTATGGTGGATATATGACCACTGAGTACTGTATATATAGTAATAATGTCCAGACTCAATCCCAGAAATTGGTAAGAAGCCAGAGACCAAAACTGATAGTCCTTCTCTTTGTTAATAGACTAAGTTCAATCTCTCTATAGTTCACAAATACTAGCATATTGGGGGGGGGGGGAATGAAGGGAAGAGAGGAGATAGTGGTCTTAATTTGAGATTTCATCAGTATAGGGAACTTTCAGTATCAAAACTTCCTCTACCAATGCATACTGGGAACTCAGTTGTAGTTTATAATTTTAGAGAGTTGCCTAAAATACTGAAAGTTAAGTGACTCACCCATGGTCATCCAGCTAGTGTATATGAAAGGACTTGACAGCAGATCTTCTTTAACACCAAGGCCAGCCTTTTATCTACCCAACCATGCTACCTCTCTTCATAAGTATTATTATTCTCATTGTACAGATGGGGAAACTGTGTCAGATAGGTTGTATCTTGCATAGATCTGTAGCTGGAAGGGAACTCTGAGACCCTCTAATCCAATCACCTTTTACAAATGAGGAAACTGAGGCCCAGGCAGGATAAATGACTTGCCCAAGGTTACACAGGTTAGTAAGCATCGTAGGTAAATATGAACCCAAGTCATTTGACACCTGAGTCAGTGCTCTTTTCCTCCATCACATGTCTAGTAAGGGGCTAAAATCTAGATCTTCTGACCTCAGGTCCACTGTTCATTCCATTCCATCAAGCTCGTGCTTCAAAGGAAAGATAACTTAATTTATTGGTTATATGACCTTGGGTAAGTTACTTAATGTCTTTGAGATCCAGCTTCCTCATCCATAAAAGGAGGGGATTGGATTAAACACCCTTTTAGGTCCCTTCTTACTCTTATGAACTGAGTGTGGGTTCCATGCTTTGAGTAGTGTATAAAACTAATTTTTGTGACCCAAAAACATGTTCATTAAGTGCCTGTCACCATAGGATATATCCAAGGGGGGAGATTAATTTGTAATCATACCAAGAAAGTGTGACTCTGAGGAGTTAGAAATTAACAAAGTGCTCTATATGAAACATCCACAGTGCTAATCTCGAAATGAAAGTGCCCAGCTGTTGTCATTGCTAAGCCAGGGCTGGAAATGAAGACTGTCAGTCTTCAGATTTGGCACGGCCAGAGGAGATTTGATCCCACAGTACCACCTATGCCAAGTGTGAAAGGTTCCCCTGAAAATCTACTCTGTCAGCACCCCCTTCCCTCCATGTAACACTGTGTCTTTAAGACACGGGTCCTGTCTCTGTCACTCAAGATATCTGCCCCTTTTGTTAAACACATATATGGTTAGATGATACTTTAAGTACCAAATCTTCAAGCTTAAGCAAATCCTCTCACCACCACAGCACCACACACAGCTTTCTGTCCCCCTCGCTTCTCACTTTTCATCTGCCCACCCCTCTCTTGACTATTACATTTGACTTTCTCATGTCTTTATACCTTCCATGAGATTGCCCACCATGCTCTGCATGGACTAGTGCCTTCCTTTTATCCTCTGAATCCTACCCCAAACACCTGTCAAGAGGCAACAGAACAGTCTTCTCATGATGCAGTTGTCATTACACCAGTCCTAAAGGCCAAGGGCATACTGTTGGTGTTTTCCTGTTGATATAGTGGAAAGAGCTTGGGGCTTTAGAGTCAGGAGACTTGGCATCTGCAGTCCAGTCTCTGATACTTACTGGCTAAGTGATCTTGGGTAAGTCACTTAGCTTTTCTGAGCCTCAGTTTTGCCATCTGGAAAATAAGGATGATAATAATAATTCTACTACCTAACCCACAAAGCTTGGGAGAGAAAAAAAATGTTTAAACCTTGATGAACTACAAAAATGTGACTCCTTCTTATTTCATTTCTCATTGTTCTTGATCTCTTGTATCTTCATACAATAAAGGCTCTCTTACTATCTTCCTTTTTTATTTTTAAAATTTATTTTTGTATTGAATTCCAAATGTTCTCCCTCCCTCACCCAGTTTACCGCCCATTGAGAAAACAAGAATGATATCCATTTTACATATGAAGTCATGCAAAACAGATTTCCACATTACCCAAGTCTGAAAAAAAGCAAGAAAAATAAAATTTAAAAATATGCTTCAATGTGCATTTTGAGTCTATCAGTTAATATTACCTTCAAAGTCCTGAAGGATTTCATTATAAACAAGGTAGTAATATGATAAATCCATTCTAGTATTTTCAGCAATGAACTTTTTTAGTCATGGTCCAAGATGGACCTGCCTTATACCATAGCATAAAACCCACCTAATAAAAGGTCATATTATAGTGAGATATCCATCAATTTATACATTCATCCCAAATCCCCCATTTCTTGCCAGACATTTTCTCTCATAAAAAGAGGGGACAAGAAGTAACAAGCATTTGCTATTCACTTACAATGGGCAGCGAGGTGGCACAGTGGATAAAGCATTAGTCCTGGAGTCAAGAGACCTGAATTCAAATCCAGTCTCAGATCTTTACTAGCTATGTGATCCTGGGCAAGTCAATTAACCCTGTTTGTTTCCATTTACTCATCTGTACAGTGAGCTGGAGAAGGAAATGGCAAATCACTCCAGTATCCTTGCCAAGAAAACCCCAAATGAAGTCACAAAGAGTCAGACACGACAGAAATGACTCAATGGTAGCAAAATGCACTCACTAGGTGTAGCCAGGCACTGTGCTCATTTATATAAGTACATTGCTCTCAACTGCTACTGCGGACAGGCTAAATCAAGAAGTCCCACCAGGACCACTACCACTAGCAACTTAGAATCACAGCATCTTAGTGAGTAAAGATTTCTCACAGGTCATCTAGTCCAACGCAACCCTGAATAGGAATCCCTTCTATAGAACATACTCATTCATTCTCTACTTAACCACCTCTAGTTATTGGAAACTCATTTCCTTTCAAAGCAACCCATTTTACTTCGGAATAGTTCTAGTTCTTAGAAAGTTTTTTCCTCTATATTAAGTCTAAAATCTATCTGTCTGCAACTTTCATTTATTTCTCCAATTTTTGTTCTTCTGGGGGCCAAGCAGAAGAACGAGGCTAAGCTCTATTTTCACATGTATATGCACAAGCTTATAGACCTAAGCATTAATTTTCCCACAATTTTCAGAAGATAACTTGTAAGAACAGTAGTAAAACACTGTGTGACTTTCAGCAAACAGGTTCACACACCTCTTCAATTGATCCTACCCTGCTAACAACTACAGGAACTCTCAAAGAGGACATTTTTAGGGGGCAGCTAGGTGGCACAATGGATAGAGCACCGGCCCTGAAGTCAGGAGTACCTGAGTTCAAATCCGGCCTCAGAGCAAACACTTGACACTTACTAGCTGTGTGACCCTGGGCAAGTCACTTAACCCCAACTGCCTTTAAAAAAAAGAGGACATTTTTAGCTGGGGGGAAAATGCCGTATTGGCTTTCAAAAATTGAGTTTATTGGAGTATGTAAGTAAATGCAGTATATCCTTAAGGAATATTTTTAGTTGATTTTCTGTTTATGTGTTTGGCTTTTTAGGAACAGGGATTGTCACTTCCTCTCTTAAAAAAAAAAAACTAAGTAAAATTACGTAACCTTCCATTCCATGAAGTACTAACTAGGACATCTAAGATGTCAACATTAAAGTCTGTTGTTGGGGTGTATGTGTGTGTGTGTGTGTGTGTGTGTGTGTGTGTGTGAGTGTTTTTCCTGGCAAGGACTCAGACAATTGTCATTGGCATCTATTCTCCAGGATTAACACATGAGCCATCAATCTTTCAAAAATTGTTAGAGATCAAAACTATCCAGTTCTGAATCCCCAGGTGTTTGTATAGAAATGCAAACATTAAGCCAGATTTTCTCATTGCCCAAGGGCACCTTTGAAAACAAAATGAATTCCAAGTAGACACCTAGTGCATTATAGATCACTCTAGCAAACTATCATTGTGGCCTGCGTTCATGGTAATTCCAAAGTCTCCTAACATACAACCAAGGAATTAGCTTAATATGGGTGATTTACTTATGAGCTTAGCCCTTCCCTTTACATGGAGTGTTAGTGAAGGATCATTCACTTCCACCAGCAATCATCATAACTACTCCCACAAGAGCTTTCCTGTGCAAGACAAGAAAGCAGCAATTACTGAACAAGAATGGAATGTCTGGTCATGTAGCTGGCTGAGAGTCATAGATTTAGAGCTTCAAGGTCATCTACTCCAACCTCCTCAATTTATAGACAGCTAAGGGACATAGTGGAAGGAGTACTGAACTCGGAAAACAGCAGTTCAAATCCTGCCTTAGATACTTGCTAGCTGTGGGGATCTATCAAGTCACAACCTCTCAGGCATGGTTTCCTCATCTTAAAATGGCGATAATTATTGTAAAGTGCTTTGCAAACCTTTTTGTTGTTCAGTTTCAGTCATGTTTGACTCTTTGTGACCCCATATGGAGTTTTCTTGGCAAACATAGTGGAGTGGTTTGCCATTTCCCTCTCCAGCTGATTTCACAGATGAGAAAACTGAGGCAAATGAGATTAAGTGACCTGCCCAGGATTATATAGCTAGTAAGTGTCTTGAGGCCGGACTTAAACTCAGCTCTTCCTGATTCCAGGCCCAGCACTCTATCCGCAGTGCCACCTGGCTGCTCAGTTGCAAACCTTAAAGCACTAAATAAATACTAGCTATGATTATTAATAGACATAAAGGTGAAATGACTTGCCCAAAGTCAAATAAGTAGCAAGTGGGAGAGTTGCAACCAAAGTCTTTTGGACTCCAAATCCAGCCTTCTTTCCATTGCAGCAAATCTGTAGCATCCCTTTCAGAAAGACCTTATTGGGATGCCTTTTGAAGTAGTAGCATGACAGCATCCCTATAATGATCAGGAAAGGCAGCCCCTATCACGATGGAGTGTGTGGGAAGTGTTGACTTAGGAAGCTTCCAAGGAAAAGAGAAATCATTTCAGGAGCATGGGGACCTCACATATACTTATCCACTTGTAAGATTCACCAATCTGTGTGTGAAGTATGGCTGGCACAGCAAGGGCTGTAGTTGGTCCACTTGAGCTCTTTCTTAAAAAAAGTACTAGTTGTTCTACGTATCCCACCTCCTCTTCCCAGATATACCTCTGGGAGATGAAGAAGTTTGGCAAGGCAGACATTTCCCCCCTCCCAAGTAAATTCTTAATGAGCATCATTCACTTTATAAATGTTCATTGACTGATTTCATGGGTTTATGACAACCCCCTCCATGACCCCAGAACAATACAGCCACTACTATCCTAGCACAATAGGAAAGACAGAAAGCAATGTCAGTATTAAGCTAAAGTTTTCTCTTCTCTCATGTAAACTATGGCCTTGAGTGAAAAGTCTTTGAATAGAAGAGAGCCCTTTCCTTGTGCCTAAGGACATAACCCACAGGAGATGTGACATTAAATACTAATGAGAACACTTTGCACTTGTGTGACTCATTAGGAATGTGACAAGGTCACACAGGCTTCTCACTGTGAAGTGATACCACCCACTCATATGTTTTCCAAATTTCTCAGCCTTGAAAGTCAAAGGGTTGCCGGGGGGTGGTGTGATGGGACAGGGTACAGCCTTCCAGTGCACATGTGCTAGAGTGATGAGAGAAGCTGGTGGGGGGAAGGGAAAAAAGGGAAGGGAGCATAATAATTTTTTTTTAAACTTAGGTCTGAAAGTTGGCTCATGTGTGCTCAAAGCATCTTTTCCCTGTCTCCAGGCTTCGCTGTGAATGGGCTCAGAGACTGGAAAGCAGAATCAAGATGATCCAGCAGTCCCAGGAAGTATCTAAGAAGTCATCCCTACTCCCAATCGAATCTTTCCACCTTGTCAATAAAACAGTAGCCTAAAGTCATAAATAAAATGGTAATAGGAAAAGTACTGTTTCATGGGAAGTGAAAACCCCCTTAGGAGATTCCTGTGCAACAGTGAAAAGATGAAGCCTAAGCCGAATGTTGGGCAGGAATTTTAAAGTGTTAATTTGAGATGCGTGTGTCGTGCAGGAATATGTTCGATATGAAAATTGTTGCCATGCTTCATTGTTTCATTCAGATCATAGTGGAATCCTTTCAGAAAATTACTTGTCATGATATAGGTTTAACTGTTCTATAGATCAGATTCTGTCTCCCCAAACTTAAGCACCACAAGTGAAAGAAGTCCAGTATTGGAGTCTGGGAGACCTGGGTTCAAGTCTTTCATCTGATACAACTGGTCACGTGACCTTTTAATTTCTCCAGACCCCCAGACAATTCTCTAAGATTAGAAATCACATGTGAGTTTCTGACTCGCATTGGTGGAGGGACTTTCCAAAGTAGAAGTTCTCCATAACCATGAGCAGAATAATCTCCTCCCCCTGACCCCACCTCCTCCCACCACCACTACATACACACACAAATCTCACAGGTCTTTTCCTTGACATCAGAGTTATCAATGACTACACTCTACTTCTTATCCTATTGTTCTCTGGCTTCTCTTTCTTGTTAATTTAAGTAAAATTTGTCTAGCACTAATGCTCAAAATTAACAAAAAAAAATAGCACAGGAAATGTCAATAAAACCACATACTTACCTATTCTTCAATTCTTTTTTCAAACTGTGCTTACAAATATTTCTTTTTGATCTACGTAGCAACCCTGTGAGATTGATGAAGTAAGTATCGTCATTCTCATTTATTGTAGTTAAGTAGATAGAAGCACAGAGTAGAGAGATTAAGAACCATAGCACATAGTAAAGACCTACCTATGAAATGGGAATCAGAGTACCTAGGTTTGGTTTCTGGCTGGGGCCCTTCCTAGTTTTATGATGGTGGACAGGTCATTTAGCCTTACTAAGCCTCAGTTTCCTCTTAGTCTATGTCTAGGAATTAGCAGTTAAATATTACAGATAATCTGAAGTTACCATATAAAGTTTAAGTGACTTGCCCAGAGTCACACATCTAGTCGGTATCAGAGTCAGGATTTGAACACAGGCTTCAAGCTCAGATGTCTAGCCACTAAACTGTGTTAGATCTTCCTAACTTATAAAATAGTGAAAATAATGCTTGGATTTCCTACCTCATAGGGTTGTTGTGAGGAAAGTGCTTTTATAGACTTTAAAGTGATTTATAGCAACAGCTTTCTTATCTTTTTTCCATGGGGTTTAGCGAGAAATTAACCAGGTACAAGTCACTATTCTGCTTATTATTCTTTTAGGTTTAATATTCTAACAACTAATTCATAGGTAGATAAATAATTGACTTTTATAGTTTGATAAAAAGTATTAGAAAAGAAATCCATCCTCTGTGGGTTTACTGAAAGCATCCTCTCATAGCAGAACAACAGGCATTCAGTAAAGCCTGATCCTTTCTACTTTTCCTGATAAGTCTCTATATTTTGAAAGTTTTTAGTTTCATTTTGCTCAAAATTCCCATGTATATATATACATATATACATATATGCCATTTTCCTTTTCAAAATAATTTAGGATGTCAGTGATGGTTTTGTCCTCTGTTTCATTAGTAGCTGGAATTTACGGAACTTCATTTCATGAAGATTCTTAATAACCTTGGGATTTTGAACTTTTTCCTGTTCAGATTTTACTAGATTCTCCAATTTCTTCAAATCTAGGTTTAGGGAAATAGGTTTTATTATTATTTATTTTTTAACAAAAAAAATCTATTCTCTCTCCCTCCTAACTCTCTCTTTCTACCCCAATGGAAAATGAGAGAAAGAAAAAAAAAACCTTGTAACAATTATGCATAGTCAAGTAAAACAAATTCCCCCATAGACTATGTCCAAAAAACCCATGTCACAATCTATACGCTGAGTCTGTCACCTCTGTTAGGAGGTGAGTAGTACATTTCATCATGGGTCTTCTGGAATCATAAATGGTTATTGCATTGATCAGATTTCTTGAGTCTTTAAAGATTTCTGACTCTACAATGTTTTTGTTACTGCATGAGTTCTGATGAAGTTTTATTTTATGATTGTTCTGTACTGGCTGGCAATATGTTATTTTATGACTTGGAGCTGAGGGTGATGCTGACAAAAAGCAATATGAAACTTTTGCCTATAACTGGTGAGATCAGTTGCCAATTCCATCATTTTATAGTACTGGCACATAACAAAAGTATTCATGTCTTAAGTCCATTTTATGCACACTGTGGTTCTTCAGCTTTAGTGGTCAAGTATCTGCATTGAAGCATTTCCAGCTGGAGAAGTATTGGTATTTCTCATTCATTATTATCATTAAGTGACTTGGTCAAGATTATTGAGAATAAAGGATTTTAGATTTGGGGCTGAAAGAGACCTACGTTGTTATCTAGTCTAACTCCATTTTAATGAGCCCTGGAGACATTAAGTAATACTAGTTCATCTTCCTCCTAGTTCAGTGCCCCTGTAGGTCTAGACTTAGAAACTTCTAGTTTTATGTCATTGAAGTATTTAATGCTCAAGATCAGGCTATTAAAATTACTTGCTGAATACTCACTTGGTCACTGCTACTACTTTGTAAATCCCATTGATAAATAAAATCCCGAGATAGTATGTCAATTAAAAGTATGAAAGCTATGCATTAACAGGCATGACTTACACAGTAGTAAGATGCAGGGAAGTAATTTTATATGACGGTATATTTAGAATGGAATTAGTGACTTCATGACTTCATGTTTTAATTTTTTTGGAGCACACTCATAAACTGTGTGTTCGTGTTAAAATTAGGAGGTACAGTATCTTCCAGAACATTTGTGTTTATGCCTTACTATCACGTAGTGATCATCTCATTCTCCCTTTGGTATCCAGACCACCTCCTTTGACATTAAGCTCTTTGATGTTAAACACTGTCTTGGTCATGGAGAGTCCTAGTGATTTCTCAACCATATTTTCTCTATTTTTAGCAACTACCTTTTCTTTGTGAAAGGTTAAGTAGAAGCTCTTGAAGTCAAAAGGCAAAAAGTGAAGAACAGAAGAAAGAGAAGGAATTAACTGTGGTTAGAAAGGGCATAAAGTGTGGGTGCAGAGAGTAAGGAAAAAGTTCAAATGGGTCAATATTGCTTATCTTTTTGTATTTTTTCAGAAAAAAAGGCCAATATGGTAGGCAACACAGGTGTAATGGAAAGAGCAGTGGTCTTGGATTCAGAAGTCACGAATTCAAGTATCAGTACACTTGCTAATAGTGTACCTTCTCTGAACCTCCATCTCTTTGTCTGTAAAATGGGGAATGGAATATTTGCACAAGTTATTTTATAAGATTGTCAAGAAAAGAGTTTTGAAAGCATAAAGTATTACATAAATAGAACTAATCATCAAATAAGAGAGAGGCCCAAAGTAAAGTAAATAAGGGCATAGGCACAAATACTGCCCAAAAAACCTCTACACTTCTTCCAGGCTGGAGAGGAAAACCCCTTTCCCTGAGGTCTATTTACTTACTGAGAAAGTGCAAGGAAGACTTTTCTGAAATTTTGAGTTGGGGTCTCAGAAAGAAAATTTACTCCTAAAATTTTGCTGTGGGAGACAAAGAACTAACTGATTTTTAAATGGAATGTTAGAATCCAGTAAATGAAACTATCAGTAAAAGTTAAGTTGAAAATAGGAGATTAAAGGGCATCTAGGTGGCACAGTGGAAAGAGCACCAGCCCTGGAGTCAGGAGGACCTGAGTTCCAATGAAGCCTCAGATAAATAACACTCACTAGCTGTGTGACCCTGGGCAAGTCACTTAACCCCATTGCCTAGCCAAAAAAAAAAGAAAAAGAAAAAAAAATAGGAGTTTAAGTTAGCATCACGCTCATAGAATTAACTGTCTTTATCACTTGTCAATTTAAGATAAACATAGTAAGTGGTATTTCCTGTTCTGAACACTAGGTGAGATACAGAGTTCCCCAAAAGTCTTAAGAATTTTGGGAAATGCTCTAGAGTCAAGTGTGGGGCCATACTCCATAGAAAAATGTGTTTATAACAAATGCTGTCCTTGTGACAGTGCTTGTCCTTTTAATTTTTCACCAAGGTCTATTTGGAAATTAAGTCTCTGTGTTGTGTCTGATCTAAATGTACTGAATAACAATGAATAGAACGGGGGCAACTGTCTGTAAGCCTAAATGCATAGCATTTGGATAAACATGGCTTTGTAATATGGCGGAAAGATTCAATAAATATAGAGGTTACATTAATCTCTGGACTATGTTCTGGCTTTATTATATAAATATGAGTTGGTCAATTCTGACCTCTATTCAAAACACAAGCAAACAAATAAAAACAATACCTCTCTCTCTCCCTCTCTCTCTCTCTGTCTGTCTTTCTGTCTGTCTGTCTGTCTGTCTGTCTGTCTCTCTCTCTCTCTCTCTCTCTCTCTCTCTCTCTCTCACACACACACACACACACACACACACACACACACACAACAGGCATATCCTTACTTTTTATTCTGTTAAATCTTAGGTGATTTCTCTATCATTTCTCCAGTCGAATCAGATAAGATCATTTAACATACATTACTCTATTTCTCACATTTGCTGAAATTCAAAGCTCATTCATTTTTATAATATACTTGTAATAGAGGAATCAGTATATTATTGGTGTACTTAATTGATAGCCTATAGGGGATAATGTCATTAGTGCCTAATGTCATTCAGCAGTAGAAACCAAAATGCATGCTGTCAATCAAGCATATGCTGCCCCTTTCCTGCATGCACACATACCTGTCTTCATCACCCAACATCAGAGGATATTTTGGGGAATCAGCCCTAGTTCTGGTTATTAGAGAACTTAGCCCTTCCAGAAGGGTCTGAGCCACTTCTTGAGGGAGTAGGAAGAGAATGAGGAATACAAGAAGAGGGAGGAGAAACCATGACCCAAGAGCAAGAGGGGTGAGAGAAGGCAGGGAGCTGCCACCATTGCTAACACTGCTGCAAATTGATGGAAAGCTCTCAAGGGTTGTAATGACAAAGCAGATGGTAATGTTCCTTCTTTGTATCATTTCCACTGATAAAATCATATCAATTTCTGATGTTGAACCATTTGACAGTGCCAAGGGCTTTGGGGATAAGTATGTCCACAGAGATTGTTTCCCATGATGATGACTAAAGACACTAGGCTGGAAGCATTGTTAATTCAAAGGTTCTTGGGGTCAGGGCTCTCAGCTGTCTCCATCAGGGACAGAAAGAAGGGATAGTGATGGTGGCAGTGGTTTAACTTGCCTGACACATGCTGCTTCCCATCATCCCCTCAGGGTGCCCTGCTGTTTTATTAGCTAATCTGGCTTGTGTGCCCCATGAGTGGCAATTGGCCAGCAATTATTGCAGTGGTGATGAAGGTGGGTCCCTTCTCCAAGATAATTTTTCCCCTTAATAATGGCTGTGGAGGCTGAACATATTGGTGCTAGACTTAATTTGGTCATCCAATCATACTTGGTGTTAGTGTCCCTTAGAACTCCTGAACTCAAGAAACCCACAAGTCTCAACTTCCTCAGTATCAGGGAATACAGGTGTGTGAAGCCACTGTGGGTACCTAGCATTTTCTTATGAGGAAAAGATGCTGAACAAGCTGGGAGCTGGTAATGCTGAGGCTTCCACCTTAGGGATCTTTTTTTCTTTGTCTCTTTCAGCTATTCTGAAAGGGAAACCAAGTCATGACCAAGGGACAGAACCAAGATTGTTGACTAGATAGAAAGTAACGGCTGACAGGGAGCTTCTGTGAAAAAGTGGTACCCCTGACATAAAGTGTGAGCTGGTCAAGAAGTAAGTAGTCTCTTACTCCCTAGCCCAATATTTTTGAAAGATTGATGGCTCACGTGTTAATCCTGGAGAATAGATGCCAATAACAATTGCCTGAGTCCTTGCCAGGAAAAACACTCACACACACACACACACCCCTTTGCTACATTTAGCCCTAATTATGATGCCGAACTCCATAATGCATTGTTAACTGCTTGCAAGATACGTACTCCCTGATCTTCTGTAGTATCTCAAATTTAACATGTCCAAAATGAAGCTCATCCTCTCCCTAATCTTGCCACTCCTACAAATGCCCCAGTTTCTTTGAGGTCACCACCAACCTCCCAGGGATCCCTTGGAACTATCCTTGATGCTTCACTCTAGCTCATTCATCATATCTAATCACTTGCCACATATCATTGTTGGTTTTACTTTCACAATATCTGTGGCTTCCTTCCCTCCACTCACTTAAGCCCCATCTTACTTCAGGCCCATATCACTTCTCTCCTGGTCTATATAGTTGTGGTCTTTGCCTTGGTCTCTCTTCTTCTGGTTCTCTGTCTTTGCCAAACCATCCTCCACACAGCTGACAAAATATTCTTCCTAAAACCCAGGTCTGACCATAGCACTCCTCTACTTTAAAAAATGGGATAAAATACAAATTCCTTAGTGTGGCATTGTAGGCCCTCCACACTTTGGATCCTACCTACAATTC